GATCCTGAACGAGTTGCCTGGCAGTATGTTTGTGAGTGGAGGAGTACAGCGTTGCCGTTGAGTGCGTGCTCACGTCGAACCTGAACGAGTTGTCTAGCACTTTCCCCTGAAATGTGAGTTTGATTTTGGCAGTCTTTGCAAGATACAGAATCCGGACCTGCCGGAAAAGCAGGTTTAACACGGTATTTACGATACAAAACGAGGGTCGGTAGTTCATGGGGGGGGGGCTACCATATGTATATATATATATATATCCATAAAGCTATGTGTATATAGAATTATATATATATATATATATCTCTCTCTCTCTCTCTCTCTTTTCCCTGTTCCCCAAAACCCCAAACCTTCAAGAGATGTCTCGGCCCAGCTTCCGGAAGTCGTCCCGTGAGCTTCGGAAGTCGAAGGGCGACTTTTGTCTGTGGTTGCCTTGGTTTTGGGTTTAGGGTTCAGGGTTTAGGGTTTAGGGTTTAGGGTTGAGGGTTTAGGGTTGAGGGCTTCCAGGTTTGTTTCAGGGGTCTTTCGGGTGTTTGGGCTGAGGATTCCAGGCTTTTTTTTGAAAGGCTCCAGGGTTTTGTGGGCTTCAGGTGTGTGGGCTTTTGGGACTTTTTGCGCTTCAAAGTGTCCGGATTTTTGGGGTTTTGGAGCTTCAGGTGTGAGGAGTTTTGGGCTTTGAGGTGTGGGGTCTGGGGGCTATTTTTGTTAGGGTTTCAGGCTTTTGGGCTTTAGGGTCGTAATTAGGGGTGTAGGGCTTAGGATTTAGGGTTTGAGCCTGATGAATGGGCTGGGGCATTGGAAGTTGCAGTTTCGTACTTTGGGGGAGGACTGTAGAACTGTGACTGATGGTTCACCTTTCTACATGGGTCTTAATCTCGAGATCACGATAATAAACCTTACTGTGCCAAGGGAGTTCTGCTTTGTTCCACTTCGACAAACCCTGCACACACTTCAACAGCGTGGCAGAAGTACCAAAACCCAGAAAACTCTCCTGAGCAGAGCAAAGATATAGTTTACGAAACCCATTTGGACCTCAAGCCCTAAACCCCCATTTGAGCCTTGGGTTGAAGGGTTAAGGGTTTAGGGTTGTTGAAGCCTAAACCCTAAATCGTAAACAAGCCTGGCTTCCGGTTATTAACCAACTGAGTTTGGACTCACGAACAAGATGCTATGTCCTGGGATTGGGGGCTACAGCTCCTGGAAATACACGAAACTTGGGAATATTGGCATAGTCCTGCTACTAGATTCTTAGATGAGACATAACTCTGTGAGTTCAGTGTTTTGGGTGACAAAAGAACCACAAGCGGGTTTGGGTGAGGATACATCCTAGCTACAGCGAGATAGTCGACAAGAGATTCACGGATACCAACTCAATACTCTAAACCCTAAACCCTAAACCCTAAACCCTAAACCCTAAACTCCAACCCTAAACCCTAAACTCCAACCCTAAACCCTAAACTGAAATGCCACCGAAGATCGGTGCCCTTTGCTGAGCTCTTGTGCGAATGTCGCTTGCGCTCTGGTCCTCGCGCATCTTCCTTGCCTGCCTCCTCGGCGACTTGGTCGTCGTGGGACCTTGTCGGAGGTTCCCTAGCAAGAAGTGTGATGTAGAAGCCTTAGAAATTAGAATAGGGTCTTAGGGTACATTATACTATAAGTATAATAAGGAACCCCCAAAATAGTGTAGGTAATCATGAAGGCTCCTACAGTGCAAACTCGGGTTCAGGGTGTTGGGTATGGATCTGGGTTTAATTTGAGGCACTCAAAATGATGGAAAACTGGTTCCCGTGTGCATCATCTTCGCCTTGAAAAATCTTCCACAAACACACAAACACACACGCACACGCGCACACACGCACACACACACACACACTCTCACACACTCACACACTCACACACTCACACACTCACACACTCACACGTTCACACATTCACACATTCACACACTCCCACACACACACACTTACACTTGTGTGACTTCAACCAAACAAGAGAAACTTAATAAACTGTTCCGGATGATAAACGAAGATTTGGGGTCATGCTAGTGACATTGTGGATTGAAGGCAAAGGGATCCACTGTCCCATCCGATCTCCACTCCATGCCTAAACCCTACAAACCCCCCAAACATCGAGTGAACACATGGTCATGATGGCGAGCTCCCGAAGTCAATGAAGCTGAACTCGCCACGACTGTAGCGCCACCGACCCTGTGACCCGAAGGCCAGATTACCACCACGTGTACGCCTCTTGATGTAGATTCTGCCCTCTGTGTTGGGAATGCCTTCTTCGTGATCCAAAAAGCACCACTCTTCCCGACGAGTACTGTCGTGATGAATCCACTTGAAGACGTCTGCCTTTTTTTTTTGTTTTTTCCGCTTGGTCATTGGCTTCCTTCCTGGACTGCAGCAGAAGTCTCACTCACTGACCCTGTGCAAGCGCTGCGACTGGAGAGACATTTCCATGGCAGCAATAAAGGCACAACGCAACACCCTACACTCAAAACCCCTAAACTCCGGATCGTCCGCAGTGACTGCTGGCATACCCTAACTCACCTCTAAACCCCAAACCCCAAACCCCAAGGCCCTAAACCCGAAAACCCCAAAACCCGAAAACCCCAAAACCCGAAAACCCCAAAACCCAAAACCCTAAACCCAAAAACCCCAAACCGAAAACCCTGAACCCTAGACCCCTCAACCCTAGATCCTAAGCCCCCCTAAGGCCCTAGACATCCCTAAATCCGATTTATGTCGGCTCCAGGTCATGAGAACGCCTGTGACCGACGTAGGACTTAGGGTTTAGGGTTTAGGGGCTTAGGGTATAGGGGCTTAGGGTTTAGGGTTTAGGGTTTAGGGTTTAGGGGCTTAGGGTATAGGGGTATAGGGGTGTAGGGGTTTAGGAGTGAGGGTTGAGGGTTTAGGGCTTTAGGGTTTAGGGTTTAAGGTTTAGGGGCTTAGGGTATAGGGGTATAGGGGTTTAGGAGTGAGGGTTGAGGGTTTAGGGCTTTAGGGTTTAGGGTTTAAGGGCTTAGGGGTTCAGGGTTGAGGACTTAGGGACATCAAGCATCCTTCTTCTGTTGTGACGGCCCGTCCCATGATCCTTTAAGTAGTCTTGTCGCACGTTTCGCAAGATCCACGTCCTGAAAGACTACTGACTGACTCACTGTACTCGGTTCGCAACTTACAGGGGTCGGGGGGAAAACCCTAAGCCGGGTTTAGGGTTTAGGCTTTGGGGTTTAGGGCGTAGGGTTTAGGGGTTTAGGGGTTTGGGCTTAGGGCTTGACCCTAAACCCTAGACCCTAAACCCTAGACCCTAAACCCTGGTGGCGGGCTCGGACCTTAAAGCTCTAAACCCCTAAGATCTTAACCCCTCTTAAGCCAATACTTATGCTCATAGGTACGGAAAAGGAAACATCCGAGTAGTTGAACCTTGGCCAGATGTGCGCAACAAATCCGAGACACGGTTTAGGGTTTAGGTTTTAGGGTTTAGGGTTTGGGGTTCAGGGTTTAGGGTCTACTTGGGCAGCTCTGTAAATTAGGTCCATGTTCCTGACCAAAGCCCTTGACTAAGGAATAGGTCCTAAGTTCCGTTTAGGACCCCAACATGGTACTGCACCCTTACCAAAAGGAGCCTAGAAGGGACTCGAATTTACTGAACTACCCACTTAGGGGGGGGGGGTCGGGGACTAAAGCTTAGTGAGTCGCTCTTTATTACATTGAGCCATGAGGGTTTTGGGTTTGCTGTAGAATGGGGCAAAGGCGGAAATATCTTGCGACAATGGAAATTCGAATGCATCGTGACAGGGCGATTGGCCGCTGGAGCCGATAGTGGACGGCTTTTCCTTGTTCTTTCCCACCCCACACCGTCTGAGGCGGCCAAACCACACAAACCTATTATTTAATACTTCTGGGGTTTAGCTCTATTACTCATTTCACGGTACTTCACTAGCAAAGCAGCGCAAGGCAGGGCAAGGGCAGGGCAGGGGCAGATGCAGAGTGCATCATCCCGCCCCAAAATTTGGGACCATAGACTGTCAATTTGGCTTGCAGATTGTCAATTTGAACCGCTGCAGGCAAAGCAGGGTGGGAAGGGCGGGCGGGCAGAGGATCGGGCAGGCAGGGCAGGTTTTCTGGGCCCAGTCGTCTCGAGGCGTACCGCGGGACATGGGTGCTACGGTCCCCATGGCTGTG